TTTTTTTTTTTTTTTTGAAGAAGGGTCTTGCTATGTAACCCAGGATAGCTGCCTCGGACTCCACGTGCAGCCGCACCTGGCTCTGAACCCTCAATTCCCTTGTTTGTCTCCCAGGTGCTGGGATTGCAGGTGTGTGCGACACACCTGGCTTCCCCCTTCTCTTTAATACCTGTACATGCTGCCTGTTCTTTTTTGTGGTACTGGGGATGGAACCTAAGGGGACTCGACCACTGAACTACATCCCTGGTCCTTTTTTAAAAAAATTATCTTTTATTTTGAGACAGGGTCTCTCTAAGTAACCCAAGTGGGATTTGAATTTGTGATACTCTTGCTTCAGCCTCCTAAGTGCTGGGATTGCAGGTATGCAGCACCATGGCCAGCCTCTGCATGTCCTTATGGTTCTTATTGCTTAGAACTACAGGTTCATGGAATCTGAGCCACCGAGGGAGAAAACAGTGATCGCTGAAAAGCTGATGGCCACATCTATACTCCTGAACCCTGATATTACTGAGATTAGGCTATGTCCAGTGCATTTTCTTCCTGTACAATTATATATTATACAAACACTTGTGTAAAAGAAAAACTTTGTGTTGTTAGATGTAATCTTAGTTCTATTAATGCATATTTTAGTAGCTTCTTGTCCTTGGTAATCAAAGATGACCTGAATGCAAACTTAGGGTTAAATCCACTAGCTTACTTAATCAGTAGCTGGGAGCCTCTTAATACAAAACAGCAGTTCCCCATCCTAGAGCTCACAGATTCACCTGGTGACCCACACTATGAAAGAGGTCTATGAAATACACCTCTCACGTTCTCTAGACAACTTCTGTTCCCCAGGTTTGCTGTGACATGAGAACCTAGATGAATGGAGAGATGACCCTTCATAGACCATGCGGCTGTAAATGCACCAGCGCTTTGCACAGATGTTTGTTTTCACAGGTTTCAAGACAAGAGTTGCTATGCATTTAGGATTTAGGATTTATCTAAATATTCCTGAAATGATCTTAATTCATGCGTTCCAGGGACTCATGAAACAGACATCACAGGCAGGTGCTTGTGCCACTGCTGCGTTTCCAATTCCAACAGGTCTTCGACTCTTTTCCCTCCCACAGACATGTGACGACTAAGCCAGACAGGGGACTAAGATTACAGCCCCTTTTCAGAAGGTTTTGGAAGTATTTTTCTTTGCTAAACACAAAATCTCTGTGAACTGCACAGGGAGGGAAGGCTCCCAAGGGCTGCTGAGGCTGCAGATGTGTAGAAGACACTTGGAGGAGCAAGGTGCTAGTGTGTAAGAAGCAGTGACACAAAACAAGGTACACTGTGGCTGTTGAAGAATCCAAAGTGTAGGCTGGAGAGGCAGCCGAGGGGCAGAGCACTTGCCTAGCATGCCACGGCCCTGTGTTCCATCATCAGCTCTGGGGGAAAAAAATCAAAGGGCCACAGCAATCTGCCATGCTCTACTAAACCGGGCTGATTAACTGATAGTGATTCTAACTAATGCCTTATAAACAGGAATATTAAGAATATCCTTGAGGGGAAAAAAGAAAGAAAAGAAAAACAAAGCAAATCTTGCTTTCTTGCTCATCTTTCTGATGTAAAAGACCTAAGAAGCCGGTTTCTGGTCAGAGGCGCTGTCCAGACTGTTAGAGAGCTATTCACCCAACGCTACACACGGCCCAGCTATGCCCACCAGTCTGGCTCCATGTGGCCCCCCCACAGAAGTCTTCTACAACCTTTGTGATGCCTCCTGCAGAGCAGACAGAGAAGAGGTTCAGTGGGGGTCAGTCCAGAACCTGCTCGTAGCAGAGAGGATCTCCTGAGAGCTCAAGGCTCAGCTTGTCTTTCCAGAACTGTCTTTATGGAAATAATGGCAGCTTATGAGAAGGCAGAAGAATGTCTCCACTAGTTCTGGGATCTGATAAGGTGAATGTACAATAGTTGGGGAGATTTGAGATTAGTGGACCAGACTGTAATTTCAGGGACAGAGCTGGTGTAAGAATGTCAAAGACAGAGCAGGTACATGTTTGGCCATAATCATAGAGAATGAAGAAAAGGAGGTGGACTTGTTCACCATGATAGAAAAACAACGTGCCACTCCTAGAAATGAGATTAATCCGTAGGAGCTCTGTAAAGGCTAACAGGAAATCCTGATGCTATCTCAAAGCCCTCAGGGTGGTCAGTGCAGACTAAACAGTGTGCACATCAGGCCATGAAGGAAGAATGAAAGAACTGAGTGGAGAGGCCGAGCCAGCTCATTGAGGTCTTTAAACACCTCGGGAATAAAATGGCAGGGTGGCCTGAGAAGATTGTTTTCTTCTAGTTTCTGTTAAAGCAGGAGCTCACATCCTTAAACTTCAGTTTACTCTCTGGACTTGGTCAAGGCATCCATTTTCCTTTACAGTTTCTCCAGGCAGGGATGCAGAGGAACATTCTGTTCAGAAACTTTTAAAAACTGCAAAATCTTACCAGGCTTGTGATGCCTGGTAGCATCAGCAAGGAGCTGCACTCTGGAGAGAGCCAGAAAGCTGGGACACAGGTTACTGTGTTGCGGGTGGAGATGAGCATGTCTGGCAGCTGGGACGTGGCTATGGGCTTCCTGTCTTGGGGACATGAAGCTGTGCTCCGAAGGACAGCACAGCTCATGAAGGTGACAGGTCAAGATCCTCAAGATCTGTTTTCCTTTCACAGTTCACTCCTTCAGGAAAAGTGTTCTGGGTGGCCAATAAGACACCGGGATTTGGGCAGCACAGGCCCCTTCAGCGAGGTGTACATTTGGGACAAAGCCTGCATGCCTTCACTTAGTCAACAGACACTTACTGAGCATCCAGCTCACACAGCACTGTTCCAGAGACTGTGGGTGATAACAGAAAGCGCTGTGGGGGGCCGACTATGTGCCACCACTCCAGGGGCTTCTTGTATGTTAGCTGGGTCCTATTACAAGGCCGCTATCCTCATGTGCATCTTCCACTGGCACTGAGGTTAAATATCCTGCTCAAGGTCCCAAAGGTGGTTGGTCAAGTCAGGCCTGGAACACAGGCAGGCTAATCCCAGAACCCTGCTTTTGCCCACCAGATAGCGGTGACCATGACAAGTCAGGTCCCTGTCTGAACAGTCCTGTGGCCTTGAAGGGATGGCGGGAAATAAGGCAGGCAAGGGGTGATACCACAGTAGGTACTGACGAGAGCTGGACAGAGACTGCTCACATTTATCAGGCTCCTGGAGGAGGGGATGACAGCCTGGCCTGCGAAGGAGGCAGCCGGCAGCCCCACCAGGAGGTGCAGTTGTGCAGCCGTCCTGGTGGGGGCACCCTCGGCCCACTCGCTGTCCTCCTCTAGGGACACTTGCCTCTGTGTTCAGCGTGGATTCCCTGTGGACAGCGATGAGGTCCTGTGTGCGTGGTGCTGGGGATGGGACCCAGGCCAGTGCTCTACCACCGAGCTGGCCCTCAGCAGTGGTCTTCATTTCAAACCAAGAACGGACACAGACAATTGGCAGTTGATATTCTGAACACTTTAAGTGAAAGATAAAACCAGCCTGTTTTGGAAATGCTTGCCAATTTCTACACACAGAGAAAACTCCATGGAATTGAATCTATCTGAGTTTATATACAAGATGAATTCAGGTTTCTTGTTTCTCTAACGTTCTGAAGATCCCATGAACTCCAACTGCGGGTGAATGGAAAATGTTAATCTAATTTCTGCCACCTCATAGTACATGCAAATGTGTAGAGCAGTCCTTCCCTGAACTCCCCTATTATCTTTCACTAATAACCATTTCCCAGACCTGTTTGAATGTGATAGTTATTCTATTGTTAGATAACTGCAGACCTCAAGTAGGATTATGAGAATTTGAAATGGTATTGTGGAAGGGATTGTTCTATTAAGTTCACAATAGAACCAGACATATTCTTCACATAAAATACACATTACAGTTTTTAATATTGCTTTTTGTTTAAATTCTGTTTAGAGTCAAGCATGAAGAAGGGTCAGGCAAAGATGAGCCTAAGGGAATGATAGCCAAGCAGGGATCCTCCTGAGGCTGTCAAAGAAATATACTAGCAGAACTTATGAAATGGTAAGGGATTTCCCCGCTGCACTTTATAAACAAATCACTGCCAAGTAAAATAAAGAAATAAATGAAAGTAGAAACAGAGCTTATGGTGTACCTGAGAAAAACAGTGAAAGGGGCAATTTTCTTATAGGGTGAGAAAACTGATCGATCCAGGGCTCCTTTAGCCTTTGACATTCTCATTAGTCCTGCAGGAGTCAGACAGATCACACTTCCCAGAAGACCAGGCTGTCAGATGCTCCACCTACCTTATAAGTGACAAAGGCCAGCCCAGGTCAAGGTGACCCCTGGCACTTATATAGAATGGGAAAAAACACCCTGTACGGTCCTTTATGGGGTCAGTACCCAAGCAGCTGTGCTTGGTGCCGCCTGCGCTGCAGACACCTTGCATGTGAAACCTAACAGGTTCATCCCCCACTCTACTCATCTTGCATTAGGATGGAAAATACTAGGAAGAGGAAGGTATATTTATTCCGTGACATATTTCTACATATACATGTGTAGGACACTTTACAAAGATGTGGATTTTATTTATTTATTTTGTACCGGGGATCAAACTCGGGACCTTTCGCTTTCAAGGTAGGCGGCAGAACCACCGAGCTAAATCCCAGGTCAATGTGGATTTTAAAAAGTTATTGTACTGAAGTTTTTCACACTTAACACATCAACATTTAGCAAGCTATGAAAGCTCAGATTCCCAGAAGGATGCAGTCCCTGGAAATTCTGGGAAGCTGATACTTTTTCCTTCATGTTGTCCTTGAATTCGATAATATAATTCATTTTTCTATGTTTATATTAGAAAAGAAGACAGAGTTTCATGGTCCTGTGGTATAAATCAGAAACAGCAAAAGCAGTGATGTCCAATCAAGGGGGAAATGTCAGTGCTGAAGGCTCCTAATGAAAAACAGTGTATCACTGAACCGTCTTACCTGTCGGCGGATTATCCCAAGGTCTCTTCTGGCTTTATTCACTAGGGTTTGAATTTCTACCGGATCCTTTACATTTTTATTTTCTCTGAAGGCGTCTCTTATCCTCCTGATAGCATACGTTCTAAATGAATTCAGAGAAAAAAGAAAACGGTGTCAGAATGTCTGAGGCTATGCTTTTCAATGAATTTAAAAGCTTTTCCTCTAAAATTAACTGTGGAGTATTCTCCAGTGTATAATCCACTTTGATCTTTGCTTGTGGGACAGGCCAATCCACTGCTATTTTTGGATGACTAAGCAAACAGATTTAGGAAAATAAACCTATTCCAAACAAGTCAATACAAACAGCAAACAGCTCCTGAAATACTCCTTAGATTACTGGCTCTTTAGAGTTATTCACATCTGGCCTCCCTCCATTAGCATGGGTAATTGAACTGTTATTGTATGAGCCAAGAATTCAGAGGTTTAATAATGATGCCTCGCAAATGCACATACTGAGTGAGATAGTGACCAGCTTTCCAATCTCTGTCCCATCTTTTGGATCTCACTTCTCTTTCCTTATCATAAAACGTAAGGCTCTTGGCTTTGTAAGGAAGTGTGGGATTATTCCAAAATGCTTTCTTCATCTTGAAAGTGCCTACATCTGTACATGAGTGCATGCATGTGCACACGCGCGTGTGTGCAAGCACACACACACCCCAGCCAGACAAAGGGCACTTGTAGTCCAGGCGAGCATTCAAGTGAAGGCTTTCAGATCAGACAGGCTCAGTCGGCTTCTTAACATAAGGCCATGTTTCCTCGTCTGTCACAGATGCGCAATACTGCTCAGAGCAGCTGGGAGGGTGAGGCTTCATTATGTGAGTCTGGATGTTGGCATGAAGCCTGGTACTTGGACAGACTCAATAAATACAGGTTATTCTTACTATCCTTGCTATCTCTTAATGCAATTATTCCCCTCTCTTTGTGTCACGGCCTCACCTTTACCCCACATCCTCGGGGGCACACCAGTGTGTACGCAGCGCAGCAGATGGAGCAGTCTGGGTAATTATCCACACAGAAGCGACAAGGGCTCTTAAATGGACATGCTCCCACACTCAGAGTCATGGCCTTCAACCCGAGCCTCCCCATCTACTCTGTATTCAGAGACGAGAGACTGAGGAAAAGCAGCCTGAGTCGGATGGTTAAACCCCATTTTCTCTAATCTTTATAGTGATCTCAGATCACTGCTTTTCACTTTAAATACCAGCTAAGTAATCCATGCAATACTCATAGTAACATTTACCAGCAGCAGAATAGAAATAGAGGCAAAGAAAGGAGAAAAAGGGGAGGTCAGTGTTCTCAGGGATAAGGGTGGGGTGCTGTTAGAGGCCCAGAGACTGGGAAATCTGGAGTGCAAATTTCGTTCTAGATAAATTTTTCTAAAGCAAAAAGAAATTTTACATTAAAAATGTGAATGGCAGGTCTTTTTGCATTTAAAAGCAGGAGTAAAACTCAATCTAGTAATCATAAAGGAGAAAGAATTGAGGAATTCAGGAATGCAAGACACTGTTGAGATTCGGATCTTAACCCTAAGATAACCAGCTGGGGAATTTGCAGAGGAAACTGAGTGCTCAGTATCAACCCTAAATGCTACAGCTACTGGAAAGGCAGTAGCCCGCGTACTTGCAGCTGCAAGACAACTTACGTGGGGCTCATTCAGTTATAAGGGGATATGGGAAAATTTTACTAATAGAATCTATCAGATACAGATTTTACTCACGGGGACCTGCTAACTACCAACACTTTAGATCAGTAGGTAAGTAGCTAACAACAATTTCTGGAGCACTTTCCTGTACAGCATAATGGTTATTTATAACACAGTATCTTTGTTCTTCCTCACACCCACGTACGTCTCCAAAGCAGTTTTCTTTTTTCATGGCGTTTGGAACAGTGAAATGACAAAATAATTTAATTGTAATATTTTGATCCATATGCAAAATCATTTTTATAACATAAATTTACCACTCTATCACTGGGCTACAGCCCAGACTCCTCATCTATTGTTTTAATTTTTCACCCAGGATGCTGCATGGGCTTTTGGAAAAACAACATGGGTAGTAGTGGTTATCACCATACTCTGTTTTTAGAAGCTAGTGACCACTTCAGAATAGTTATAAGAAAAGAACTATTGCATGAAATGGAAAAAAACCTAAGTTCTTCCAAAGTTTAAGAATCAGAAAATTGCTTTAGACTCTCAATAATTTATATTGAATAAGCTCAAGGCTCAGAGTACAAAATATTCTGCTGTATATTATCTGTCTTCCAATTCTCCAAAGTCCTCACCTGAAGGAATGCAGTTCTAGATCTTGCAACCAAATGTGCCCAAGCAATCAAGAGTCATGGTTCAAATTCTGGATGCACTTCTGAAAGGATGAAATGGTTTCTTCCTCCATCCCTCAGGTGTCCCCTCCTCTCCATTTTGTTTCTCTTCCTGCAGCATTTAATGCTTAGGGTGCTATTCTTTCCCCTAAGCAAACACATTTCAGTGGCTCAGAACCACAAAGGTGCTGTTGCACGAACAATTCATTCCTCAGTTACATGAATTTATTTTAAATGACCAAAATTTTGTGAAGATAGACACACAGATTTGGGTGAGCCCTTACATTTTGTGGGAGAGGGGCAACCAGTGGTTATTTCAACCCTGCCTCTACTCTGGTTTTTATCATTTGCATTCTTTTTTGCCCACTGTGAAGCAAAAATCATCTGTCCTTGAACACATTCTGGCTACCAGCATCTCCACTAGCACTGAGCAAGAACCTTTCAAAGAAAATGTGCAGATGCTGTAACAATAGAAAGTGCAGCTGCTACACAATGCCTTACATTACATCAAGATGATCCTTTTAGAAGTCAGAAGCTGTTTGCAATAAAGGATCAAACATGGCACAGTGAATACATGCACAGAGTCCCCTGAGGGGTGGTGTACCTTATAATCCCAGGACTCGGGAGGCAGAGACAGGAGGATTCAGAATTCCAGGCCTGCCTTGGCTATGTGGCAAAACCCTATCTCAAAAAAAAAATACAAAATTCCACGCACACAGTGGAGTCCCGCTGCGTGTTAAAGGTCATCCATTATAAGGTGCATAAGGCTGGTTGAAATACCCAGCACAGCAAAAAAGAAAGGAAAAAAAGGAATAAGGAAGGCGTGGAAAATGAGCACAGAAAAAGGAAGGAGACTGCATCCACAGACTCGGTAAAGCGTCCGCTCAGGCCGGCACTGCCCTCCCTCTGCCTCCTGAAGCTCGCCATCTTCTTAGTGCTTCTCTTAGCCGGAGATCCCATTGGGCTTTCCTTGTCCACCCCAGCCTTTGCCCTTTGGTCTACCGGCGGATCTCGGGTGTCCACAGGCTCTTCTAACTGGCTGTCTTTTTGCCTCTGCAAGGACCAAACTGCTTTCTGAGGTCCCCGCTCACTCCACTTTCCCAGCAGCACAGCAGAAGTAAGGAAAGCTCTTTGGTGCCTGAGGTCATGCTTCACTTTCTCTCCTGCGGAACCACTGTGGGCCAAAAGCACTTGGCTGCTCACATCTGCTTTGGAATCGTAGTGAGGCCGATCAGTTAGTGCAAGACCTCTCTCTGTCATTCATCATCATCCTAGATGCTGGTGTCTCTGCTTATGCAGCCCATGAACTCATCTGTGCCTCTTCTTGTTTTTCTCCAGCCCCTAGGCAAATGCCCCAGTAATAAGGCAGTTCCACCCTTTTTATTCTTCACAGCAAACTTCCATTCATCCTTGCCTGCTTGGAAGGACAGGTCTGCCTACCTTCTTTCACTAAAATGTGCTTTGCTCCTGAGGACAGTGCTTCCTTTACTGTCATTAAGAGGAAGCTGCTGAATTCTAGCATATTTCCATACTCCAGGGGGCAGAGGAGATGCTAGTGAGATCCCAGTCTTGCTGTCACTTCCCAGTGGGGTCACCCTTAAACATCTTTGAGGCCAGGACACCTGGCTACTTCTCCATCATGTGCCTCTGTGACTGTGATCTGTTTGCAAGTGTCAAGATCCATCAAACCTTTATAGCCAAAGGGCACTCACTGTATACACAGATCACCAAATTTAGGTAATTAAAAAATCAGCACAAGGTTTAATAAAAGTAAGAGCTTTTAAAATCACAATTTTCACGAGACAAGTGACAAGCAATCTTTTACTGGGTATCATTTGCAATTTTTTTTTTTCTTCTTCCTTTTTTTGGTGCTGGAGATTGGATCTCGGGCCTTCTGTGTGCTACGCCTGTCCTCCACCACTGAGCTACACTCCCTGGCCTATCACGTGCAGTCTTCTCCACTGCTGTATCGCTACTTGCTGGACAGAGGATTCCATTTTCAGTTGTTTCTTTTCCTGGTCTTTTGATCTACTAGTTACCCCTTCCCAGTCTTCTCTGCAGGCTTGCTGTATTCTGCTGCCTTACATGTTGCGTTCTTGAGCACTGGTATGTGAACCTCTTTTTAATAAAGTCTCTGTCTAAGATCTCAACTATGACATATATGCCACTGGCTTCAATTATTTCTCTCACCCAGACCTCCCTTCTGGTTTAAATCCATATTACTCAATTGCTTTATGGATTTTGAACAAAAATACAGATTATTCCAGTTAACACACTATGAATTGAGGCCATCCACCTTTCTTTCCTTTTGGCACCAATGACCAGGATTTCCTTCCAAAGGCAGGAGGGTTTTTATGCAGTCAACAGCCTCAGTCAGACAACTTAAGAGATGCATCCTCAATTCCTTTTTTTCCTAAAACTCCCTATATTTAATTACAAAAATCTTACTATTTCAATCTTTGACACCTCTTCTACTTCTAAGCTCTCAGCCCTGATCTGGGTTCAGGTTCTTCAATGCCATGCTAATGCAAAAGCCTTGGTATTATGCGAGCTGTGTGTGTGTGCGTGTGTAGTGTAAGCAGCACTCTGGGTAGGTAACAGAGTGAAGAGCAGAGCAGAAAACTTCTTTCTTATAAGTGTGAGTTCCTACTAGACAATAACCCTCACACACTGGGGCCTCAGATCTTTCTTGCTCACTACTGTGTCTCACAGGTCTAGATCAGGGAAGGTGCTTGAGAACCATTTACTGAATACATGAACTCAAAA